AGTGGGCTTTACCTTTCCGTTCATACCAGCAGACCTTAAAGTAGTCCAGTGGGCGAAGTTATGTATTGATCCGGCGTTTTAGAGTTCCGAGTGTTGGTGCGACTTTATAAAAGACTGGTCTTTGCAAGCGGAGAAACATTTCCTTTTATAGCACCGCATTGCCTTTTACAGGAGTCAGGAGTCATTTCCAGCAGTGACCTATCTGGTGTGAACCCACGCTGAAAGTAGCTCAGACACAGACACAGGTACAATGTAATCTCTTTGTATTAACATTTGTTTTAATAGCTTGTTTAAGGTTTTGGGGAAATGTTGCGATTTCACAAGGTTTAAGTAAGCATATGTTGCATTTTGTAACCATAAAAAACTGCATGTGTTTTTTTTTTTGTTTTTTTTTACCGACTAGTTAAACTGTGATAGGATTAACAATTTAGATTTAGAAGTAAACCATACAAAACACCAAGAATCTGTTCAGATTTACTTTTCTCTTAATAATCAGAGGCGGAGGCAGACATTTGATACACCCGGGGCTTAGCCCTAAAGGATAGTATGCGTGTGTGTGTGTGTGGGGGGGGGGGTTGAAATGACTGAAAGATTAATAGGCTCTGTTTTGAGTTTTGTTCAAAAAAGAATGACTTCATATAGGGAAAAATATATATCACATGTGCAGGACACCTTAAACTAGTTTTTTAATTAAGCAGCAAGGCAGAACAAAGTCGGGCTGTATCAAGACACGAGGACTAAACCCCAATTCAACCAGACCCAGAACTGATCCAGAATTAAAACAGGACTACAACAGTTCAAAATCAGGACTACTGAGGACTTAACCAAGACAGAACCAGAATCAGAACTAGATGATAGTAGCACTAAAAATCATCATAGACCTGCACTACACTTATTTTTTAATTCTACCAAAGTACAATATTTAGATTGAGAAAAGTTTATATAATTATTTAGCCTTGTTGTGCAAACAAGCCTGCATAACTTAATAAATATAGAATTTGAAAAATAACAAACCTAAAAAGAAACACTAGGTACGAGATACATGAGGACCTATGATACGGTGATACTTTTGGTAAACAACCATTTGACTAACATGTGTGTCTCACCTGCTCTTGTTCATCTCTGTTCTCTCTCTCTCCCTCTCTGTTCCTCTCTCTCCCTCTTTGTGCTGACAATCAAACCAAACACCAACATCATCAAATATACAGTTGAAACCAGATATTTACAAACTCTTCAGATAAAAACACTTTTTTAATTGTAACATCAAATCAGACTAAATGTTTATTTTTTTAGTGTATATGTACTCCTAAATTTGATGAAAGTGATAAAAAATAGACAGCTCTGTCTCTCTTTATTCTGACATTTAACTAATTCAAAAGATATTTCAATATTTATTTATCCAAAACAAAACAAGTTTACTCTAAATTGATGTTGTACAGTAAAAAATGTTCTTGTGTTTTCCATAAAGTGTATGTAAATATCTGGTTTAACTGTGAATATACTGCTGTGTATTGAAATTCCTCTTGTTTTGCATAGAAATATACTGAACAACATACAAAGCATAATATATAAAATAACATCTACCAGAGTTTTTTCTTTGAAAGAAGCCCTTATGTCCATTCTTGTATATCAGTGCATTACTGAAACCGATTTATTTAGCCGTGGAGGGAAACAACTGAAAATATGAAATAAACACACATGTAAGCTAAGACTCTCTAAAGAAACAGCATTGTTGTTGTTCGGCTTTTCATTTCGCCATTTGTTGATTCACTTGAAGAACGAGTAACCTAATATGGGTCAAGTGATCAGTTTGATATCAATCTTTCGTGATACACAGTCATATTTACATTATTTGTAGAGTACGAATGATTTGCTTTGGTACCTGGTCGAACTTCAGTTCTCCTCTGTCTGCCTGGCTGCGTTTCTCCAACAGCGCACTCGCAGGCAGCAGCTCCTTCTTTTTGTTCATTTTTGTTTTAAATGTTACGCCAAGTTCCCCTTTATAGAATTTTTATCTTGCTTATTTAAAAAGTATTTACCGTACTTTATATAGACACTACAATCCAACTGAAAAGCGAACTAACCAGCAAGCAGGAGTGTGTGTGTGTTTGTTTGTGTGTGTGTGTGTGTGTGTGATATCCAATGATATCTGAATTAATCATTTTTTTATAAGCCAGGACTCAAAATTTTAATACACTTTAGCATAGGGAAGGTACAGGATGTCAACACTGAATCGGTTAAGAGTCTGTAAGCTGCGTTTTAACAAAGATAACATTTATGGTGTCAACATCACATCACATCATTTCATAGAATGTGCTGTTGTTGATTACACTGTTTGTGTGAATTGTGCATACCAAATAACAGTTCCCCCAAAGAGCAATAAGTGGACTGCACCTTCAGCTTTTATAAAAATTACTTGCTGAAGCTGTTTGCACGAACACAAGAATCCAAATCAGTCGTATCCGACATTAACCTCCTAGGACCTGGCGTCCACATATGTGGACATCACATTTTGGATTGTCTAGACCAAAATACAAAATCTTGCTCTACAAGAACCCTTACGAGGACATTATACTGCCACTGTTCTATCAAAATTTAAAGCTAATGTCCTCATATGTGGATCTCATTTTTCTCAGAAACAAAAATTAGGTAAAAATCTGTTAATTCTTTGTTTTTACATTCATCAGGTCCCAATAAGAGCAAATAGCAAAAAGAAATTAAAAATGCATGCCATGAAAGAGTTCACGTCTTAGGAGGTTAAATGATCTTCACCCTGCCCTCTTGCTAGCACAAGTCTGTGTAATGTCTCATTGAGCCCATGTGAACGTCTACAGAAATTTAGTTATCTTATACTCTTTATTTACACTCATGGGAATGAATTTCATGGTAATTTTGAGGGTTTACTGTTTGAAAACAAAAATAATTCTGGATGATACAGGTGCCACGATTCCCTTGAGACTGACATTCCCACATGCAACAAAGTCAAAGCAGCATAGTAAAACAAAAATGTGAAACGCAGGAATTTTTCTAAAATAGGTTCCTATAGAAATGTACGCAAGGTCAAACATGTCTTTGCAGAATTTCACAGGCATCCATTAATCCGAGAAAGTGGTAAGTCATTCCACTATTATTTTCATCTTTTAGCATCACAGGGAAGTATGATTTATTTAGGTCAAGCGTGAGTGGCGTGGGAGTCCTTCATATCAGAGTTTCTCTGTTTTCTTCCACAAGGTCAAGAAAACCGCACAGCAGTGTTTAAGACATACTTAAGAGCTTCATTACTTAAAGGTATGAACAGCTCAAAACAACTCAAAAAAATGTGCAAACTATGTTTTAATGACTGGATGCTGTTGCTTGTTTGTCGTACCTTCAGTGTCACAAGGCCAGATTCTCCTGGAAAGGAAAGTTTGTTTGGCTTGTGCAAGAAAGACGTCTGTGTTATGAACTCGCTCATGTGCCACATCCCCACAAAGGCAGATGGGCTTGTTGTAGCGCTGCAGAATAGCAGTTTAGTGCCAGGTGTTTAGAGGTCACCTGAATTGGCTCTTATGGCTTTTGGCTACTTTCAGATTCATGCAGAAAATTTTGAAATTGAAGATGGTTAACAACGTTTCTCAAATTTGGGTTAAACAGTGTCACGTTGCGTGTTTGGATGGATAGTTTGTTTGTTTGTTTGCTTTTTTGAGAGGAACTTAGAGCTTAGGAAGTTAGGGCTGTTCGATATAACAATATATATCGGAAGACGATATGAAAACGTCTGTCGTTTCATATCGTTTGTTTCGTGGTGTCGCAGAATAAATTGTTTACGGCAGTTTTGGCGGTCACTGTGGTGGCTATAATAATTTTTTAAAGTTCGCTCTTTTTCTTATATTTAAAATAACCACACTACGGACGGACAAGCAACAGTTTTTACGTGTTGTCGTTAGCAACAACGATGGTAAACCCAGCATGTGGCTCTGCCGTCCGCTTCTTTATTTTCCACATAAACCTTTCACAATAAAACTGAAGATCCTGTTGAGATTTTTCAAAATAAGAGATTCACAGAGTTTAGAGAAAATGTAAAATTTTTGTGATATATATCGCTGTCGGGATGATAAATGTCTTATATCGGGATATGAGATTTCGGTCTTATCGCATAACCCTAAGCACAGTTGGGTTTGCAATAGATCTACCATTTTAAGTCAACAATGAGCCATCCTAATGTTGGACTGGGTACCAGACAAACATATTTCAAGGCTATAATTGACTATGTGCACGAGACAATGCTAACTTCCTGGTTTGAGACCGGATGTGGGGTTGTGCATTTCCGGTAGCTTTACTTTGCGGTCAATCGCTACTGTGAAGATATACTCCAAAATCATGTCCAAAACTCGAAAACAGAAAGATTGCGTTAAGTTACAAAAAGCAGAAGGTGGGAACACTCACCGCTGTTGTGTCATAAAAAATCTAATGATCAATTTTGACGTTTGAAGCGTTTAGATCGATCAGTTGTTTACATCACTCAACACAAGCAGAACTCCATTACTGCAGCAGAAGACACATCGTCCACATTCAGAAGCACATCTCTGTATAGTGACTGGTCTTATGATTTAAACAGGCAAATGTTCAGCATTCGTCTCTCCTGTACAGTACAGAATTGCTGCATTGATCGCTAGCAGTGTGACTCTGAGGTGCAGTACTGTATGTCCACGATGTCCACCAAACGTTTTGCACCGTCAAAAAATAAAATTGGCTACTTGATTTCACCTATCGCTGGTTATTTTTAGAACATAACACCCGCGATTAACGAGGGACAGCTGAGAAATATAACATTTGAATCCCTTTTCTCTTTTGCTCTGAGGCGCAGGGGAAAAATATCAACAAGTCGATGAACATCATTTACAGATATATTGGGTAAATGCCCAAGACATCTATAGAAATGTAAATCGCTGCTTGATTCATTCATCTGCTTAACTTGTTTTGGACCGTAAACCAGGCGCGAATAGGACACCGGAAACAAAGCTCCCCACAGGAGTTTCCGCACCGGAAGTAGCATATGCTAACGTGCACATAGTCAATACTATCTTTTAAATCAGTGTACACGAAGAGTCTTTTGAGATGTTGTTTCTATTAAAATTGGAATACCAAGTCTTTCCCAGCACCTCAAATACCTAATCCAGTTTACCTGTGATTTTTTTTCTTTCTTTATTGTTTTGGTTTTCACCAGAGCTGTAGTTACTTTGTTAGCTCAAAGTTTTCTTTGAGTTCTCACTGTTTTCCTCCTGTCGTCCTCAAATGTATACCAGTGTCACAGCATTTATCAAAGGCATTTGAAGGAGCAATGTTTTGCCTACAGCCAAAAAGTGAGAAGCATGTGATTGACTTCTGTTCCAAATATACTTGTGTACCCCTATGTGCCATGGGCAGGTGTTGTGCTCATTGATTGGTTGAGAAGAGGGCAGTGTCCTTTCCCGCCCACCCTCTGTTTTTAGCTCAGCCGTTACACGCCACATCATGTGAACGCTTCGGAAGCTCTCTGCAGTTTGTCACTTTTTTTTATCCCAGGAAAATGACGTTTGTTTTCCTCTAGCAGCTTATAAGGGCAAATTCTTCCATGCCTTACTTATTTTAACATTTTCCACTGATACCAGATGTACTTATTTCCTTTTTAGTTTCAGCCCTGTTTATTTTGGCAACCGCATTTTGGTGTAATCGCACAGAATTGAAATACCTAGGTGACCAGGTCACAACAACCTAGAAAGGCAACTCAGAAGTGTCAAGGTCAGACAGAGGACTTTCTGACTAGCGGTGGTGGTACCCTAACCTGACATGGCAGATGGTTTATTACACAGATCCATCTGGAATATTGTCCTTGTAAAGTGTTTGGAGAAGCACTAGCACTCTCAAAAACACTTGGCACATGATTAGATAAACCATCTGCTTATCACCATCAACTGCAAACTAACTTCAGCTGGTCTGATCAAGAGACTAGGGGTGGGGGGGTGGAGCGTCCTGCCAGAGATGAAGAGCTAAACGCATTCTGGGGAAGTTTGAAACCCAAGTAAGGAGTCATAGCTTTACAGTTAAACAATTCATAACATCTTCGCATGGAAAATGTGCACATTTTAATCACTCACAGGTTGCCACTTTCAAAATAAGAATAAAAAAGAAATACCTGGCCTTCATTTAGCTGCAGATTGTGCATACGTTTGGTCTAAACCTGCTTGTTTGGCTATAAACTCATAAAGTAAAGCCTGGATTGTGGATTGTCTTGTGATCATAATCTCCAAATCCAGTTTCTTCTCCAGATATTCAGTTCTCTACTGTTAATGTGTCTGCTTACCAGTCATAGAGTTCTTTTTCTTCTACATTAATTCCTAACACAAGCCAACACAAGTTTCCTTGAATAAATTGCTGTAAGAGGGTGAAGTAATATAATCAGATCATAATTTCCATAGCCTTGCTGTGTTCTTGAATTGACGAAAACCTGCCGGAGTCTGTTTGTTTAGCCCCTGAGGGATTATATCTGGCATCACAGCTGCTCCTGAGGCCATGTGATGTGTCACTGTTCTATTTGTGAGCGAGACACCTGAATGTTTTGTACACTAAGAGGCATCTGTGTCATATGTCTCAGCGGTGCTTGTAAACGTCTCCCCCAACTCTGTTCTTCTGAAACTGATTCTGGATCTAAAGAGAGAAGTTGCAACTTGGAACTAAAAGCAGAGCAGCTGAGTTCATCAGTAAAGGTAGAAGTTCCTGCTCTGCACTGTGTTGTAAAAGTGAGCACACGTCAGTATTGTTTGGCAGGTCTATAGCCGTCTCTGATGTGATGTTTTAAAAGGGACTTTAAGATTGAGCAATCCATTGCCAAGAATTGCCGTAAACGCTGGTCCGACATGATTGGGAGCATCGTGGTTTGACTTAACTGTTTTTAAATACATACAACTGTCATTACTGTTGATTCTGCGTTATTTCACTTATTGCTCATGTTAATTACTTGGCGATTGTGTAATCTGTGTCGTGAACCTCCTACTGCATGTGCAAACGTACTGATAAAAAAGCTCAAATTGATTTGTAATGCGCTTTCCATTGTAAACAGAAGCATGAAATGTTGATAACAGTAAATGTAGAGAACAGAAAAAGTGATTGAAGTCCAATCTACTTATCCAGTGCAGACAATACAAATCATTGGGTCATACTTTCTCTGTTGAACACAGCATTCATTTATGCTGCAATGTGTAGCTTTGTTTGACATCTTCAGAATAAATGCTGATGCAGTGTAATGAAATTTTGATTTGGTGATGTGACTATACAAATCAAGAAAGCTGATATACAGTAAATCCTACGTGATCAAAACTTGTTTCGAGTAGAAATAACCTGAGAAATGTGCTAAGAAGCAAGATCGGTGGGTTAGCAAGTTAGGCTGGAAGAGCTTCATTGACACTGTGTGTTTGCGCACGTGGGTCTGTGGGTGTGTGTTTTGTTTTTTTGTTTTTTTTTTGGTGTGTGTGTGTGGGTTTTTTTAAGGCAGGGGGAGGGGGTCTTTCTGTCCTTTGATATGCAGTATATTTTGTGTATAGCAGGGATGTCAAAATCATTTTATATTGTGGGCCACATCCAGCCAGACCACATGATAAATGTGTAAAATTACCCCAAAAATCCTGGTAGTTAATTGCCCTGACTGTCCATTTAATTATAGAATGTAAAGTTTTCATTAACATGTATACATTTTATTTATTTATTTATTTATTACACTGTGAAATCAATGTAAAAAACAAACAAACCAAAAAACAAAAACATTTCTATAGTAAATAATGGAAAAATCAGGAGCTTTTTTCGTCATTTGATTGTTTATCTATTACTTAATTTGGTGGTACTTAGTTTGATGTTGTATGAATGGAAAAGGTGGGGTGGGGTCTTTAACAATGGGAAAAGCTTTAAAACATATTAAAATCCACATAAAAATCTATTTGCTCCTTAACATTTTCCAAAGCTGTTCAGTGGGCCTGATTGGAGTGTTTGCTGGACTGATTCTGGACCCTGGGCCGACACCGCTGTGTAGTGGTAGACATCTTTGGCTAACAAGTGAACAGGGAAAGTTCCCAGTTCGATTCTGGGAGGAGAAATTGAATCCCCTTAGGATCGTGTCTGGAAGGGCATCTGTTGTAAAAACTCTGCAAAATTAAACAGAGTTACCTGTAGAGGCAACCCCTTATGAAAAAGGGAGCAGCCAAACAGCTGTTTCTGCTTCTGCTATTTCTTCTAGTATGCTTTAAGAGCTTCATAGATTCTATACTTTAGTACAACTGAATAAATCCCAGATCTAAAGTTTCGGAAGTGCAGCCTGTACAATCACGCTGTCACTGGAATTTTCATGCATTCAGCCATTTGTTTGGTCTTTTTATATGTTATTTATCAGTAAGAATATACAGTCAGTAACATTAATTTCACTTTGATCTGCCAACAAACTTTAGTGAATTTCATGTCTCCTGTATTAAGCTATGGAAGAGTGTCATTAACAGGAAAGAGCAAAGAGGCTGAGCCTTTGTACAGATGATGAGTTCAGGTGGAGTGAAAGAAAACGTTTTTCTTACTTTCAAACAGAAGCTCATTAAAACCTTTACTAGGTAAAAGTTGTTATTAGGGCTGTTCGATATAACGATATATATCGGATGACGATATAAAAACATCTATCGTTTCATTTTACGCAATCGTTTGTTCCGTGGTGTCGCAAAATAAACTGTTTACGGCAATATTTTTTCATGGTTTTGATGGTCACTGTAGTGGCTATATTAATTTCTTAAAGTTCTCTCTTTCTCTTATATTTTATATAACCACACTACGGACGGACAAGCGCCTGTTTTTATGCGTTGTGGTTAGCAACAAAGACGGTAACAGCATCGCGTGTCCGCTTGTTTATGTTCCATATAAAGCTTTCACAATAAACCTCAAGATCCTGTTGAGACTTTTCAAAATAAACCGAATCACGTAAAAGAGCACGTTTATTATTATTTACGGATGAGAATTAAAAAAGAGTCGTCAGGTGCTAAAAAATAAACCTCAGACTCAAACGTTAGAACAGACTTTTTCCCGCAGCACGCCGTGTAATAAATACTCACAAAGAAAACGGCGGCCGTTACAACTAAAAATGTATAGTTTCGTGCATCGGTTAAAACACTCGACTCCAGCTACATGACGTGCAGCTGGAAACACTTCCCGCAAGACGAGCTGCCCGAGATTCACAGAATTTACAGAAAATGTTACATTTTTGTGATTTATATCGTTATCGGACGATAGAATTCTTATATCGGGATATGAGATTTTGGTCGTATCGCACAGCCCTAGTTGTTAGGTTGCATTAACATCAATTATTGTTATGTACACCATTAGAATGTCAGTTTTCTGCTGCAGGAAACATTGCAGCAGTGCAATGTTGTTATGCTTGCTTTTCCTCATTGCAGCCACCACAACTGCTTTAAAGGCGTACAGACACACGTACTCACTCATTCACTACCACATTCCACACGTGTTACCACACGTGCAAAAACACTTCAACACGCAACAAATTTTTCTCATCTAGAAGATGCAATAATGCCTGAACATTTTTTGTGCCTCTTGCTAATGTAAGAAAGCCTTCGAAGAACACCGAGTAAAGGCTGTTTTATTGTGTGCCGTAGTTCAGGTTGCAAGCATGCCTTGATGTAACTGTACTTGTGATTGTTTATTAATTTATTTTTGCATTTAAAAAATGTTTTCTGTAAAAATTTAGATTTTAATATGGCACATAAATACAATTAAACGATGTAGTTATTTAGGCATTACAATTACTAAAATTCCTACAATTTAAAAGACCTGTCTTTATTTTTTATTTTTTGTCTTTTTGTATCTATTTTTGTTCATTAATAAGCAAAAGTATTTGTTATCCAATTAACTAATGGATGACAATACTGATAACTGTAGTCCTACATTAATGGCAAGAATTATGGGATAGGTTTTTTTTTCTTTTCAGACTAATAACTTTATAGTTTCTTTTGTTGTAAACATACATGTTATACGTGTTACATTTAAACCAAATGTTTTTTGAATTTAGATCGTCTTCATTTGCTTATTGACAGTTGCGTAGTCTCTTTTCTTATTTTGTCCTTATTTCTGTTCTGCTTTATCAACAGGAATCTATTGACGAAATTCTCCAAACTGTAAACCAAGATGATTCTGTCTTCACTGAAAGGCATTGGGAAGAAACTTCTGAGAGTGAAGGTTGTGGACAGTAGCATAGAGGAGTCCCGCTTGGCTCGATGTCTTAACACGTTTGACCTTGTGGCCCTGGGCGTCGGCAGCACACTCGGTGCTGGCGTCTACGTGCTCGCTGGTGCCGTAGCCCGAGAAAATTCAGGACCCGCCATTGTCATCTCCTTCCTCATCGCTGCCATGGCTTCAGTCTTGGCTGGTCTGTGCTACGCCGAGTTTGGAGCGCGTGTTCCCAAAACTGGCTCGGCTTACCTCTACAGCTATGTTACGGTTGGAGAAGTATGGGCATTTATCACCGGCTGGAACCTCATTCTCGCTTATGTCATTGGTGAGACGCTTTAAATAAAGAGGGAGTTCCCTGCTACTCTTGATTCTTGTTAAGTTTACATACCGGATACTGTTTGCACAGGAACTTCGAGCGTGGCCCGGGCATGGAGCGCAACCTTTGATGAGCTTATTGGAAGGAAGATTGAGCTGATTTGCAGACAATACATGACCATGAACGCCCCGGGAGTCTTGGCAGAATATCCAGACATATTTGCTGTCGTAATCATAATCGTTCTGACAGGTCAGAAATGGATGCATCTCTCGCTTGTTTTGTCTATTGCTTCAGATTATGTTCTTTAATCGTTCATGTTTTTACTGCTTGCAGGGCTGCTTGTATTTGGTGTAAAAGAGTCAGCCATGGTAAACAAAGTGTTTACCTGCATCAATGTACTGGTGCTGGTGTTTGTAGTCATCTCTGGCTTAGTTAAAGGAAACAAAGAAAACTGGAACCTGAACCCTGAAAAGATCCTTAATGCCACCAGAAACTCTACTTCTAAGTGCGTTTAATAAATATCTTATTCCCAAATGTCTATATCCCTAATGATACATCAGAGGTTTTTACTAAATGAGTAAATATTTTCTGTCTGTTATTTCTAGTGTGTCCGATTTCATTCCAAATGAGGATGTTCTCGGTGCTGGTGGTTTCATGCCCTTCGGTTGGACTGGAGTCCTTTCTGGTGCAGCAACCTGTTTTTATGCCTTCATAGGGTTTGACTGCATTGCCACTACAGGTGAGGGAGAATATATTAAATTGGTGACTCATAAAGGAGCTATGTTCTCTTAACATGCTGGATCATGTTCCCTCCCCAGGAGAAGAAGTAAAGAATCCACAGAGGGCCATTCCTGTTGGCATTGTGGCCTCTCTCCTCATTTGCTTTGTGGCATACTTTGGTGTATCTGCAGCCCTCACTGTGATGATGCCTTACTACTTGCTGGACAAGAGCAGCCCTCTTCCTGTGGCTTTTAAGTATGTGGGCTGGGAGGGAGCCACTTACGCAGTGGCCATTGGCTCTTTATGTGCACTGTCGACTAGGTAAGTGTGTTTCCTGCTGCCTCTCAGCATGAGCATTCATGGAGGACTTGTAATTATTTAGCACGCTTTTTTTTTATTTTTAGGAATGAATAATTCATGTCTTTTACACTTTCTATAATTTTATTATTGTCTTTTTTGCTTAGTCTAAGATTAACTAGATCTGAGATTGAATATGAGAATAAGTGGCAGAAACCATCAAAGGTATTATCTTATGGACAGAGTTGCAGAATGAATATTGATGTTAATGAAATGCATTTGCACAAGTAGTATTTGATTTATTGAAAGATGCCCTGTGGTGTTTTCCTGTAACAAAAATATATTGTATACGTAGTTTTACTCACTAAAATTCATTGTGTTTATTCTTGATGTCTTACAATTATATTTGCTTATAAAATATTAAAAGCACAAAGCATACACGTGTTAAAACAAGCCTGCAGTGGGACGTGGTTGGGCTGTATTTTTGATAAGCTATGCCACCTGCCGATTAACTGAGTAGTGCATCTGTGTTGAAGCAAAGTCCCACACAATAAAATATTATTACATCAAGCTAATAGCAGGTAACTCCACAGGGTGACTTTAATTCAGCTTCAAATACTTTGGGAGAAAATTTTAATCTCAAGAATAATTTCCTAGAAATATTATGATGTATTGTGGATTTTTGCTTATGTCTTAATTATATATTGTTTCATGGATTAAAAAAAACCATTTACTAACTGTCTTTATCCGTACTAATTGGCACGCTCGTTCTTAGGTAGTAGTTTGGCTATTATTAAAGAGCAGCATGTTTGCTAATTTGCTAAACTTGACACTGAAATGAAAGGCCTGATATAAAAGTGTAGGGAGCCTGAAGTTCAGTGCCAATGACACCTGCGGGATGAACTGCATTAACAACAATGACCAAACGTCACACTCCACATCACTGAAACTGAATGAGAATGCGAGTAAATCTCTCAGCTGGCTCAACAATCACGTAGACCTACAGTTTGAATGCATTTACATTAGATCCACTCACTTTTTTTTTTTTTTTGTTTTAATCTTTTGAAACTTGTTATACATTTTGTGTGGATTGACTCGCATGGCATGCTTTTCTTTTTCTCCTGTGTACTAGTTTACTAGGCTCCATGTTCCCAATGCCCAGAGTGATCTGGGCCATGGCAGAAGATGGCCTGCTCTTCAAATGCTTGGCTAAAGTCAGCACACGAACCAAAACCCCTCTAATAGCAACAATAACATCAGGTCTTGCGGCAGGTGAGGTCACAAACTAAACTAAACTGGCTGGGGTTACTTTGTTCTGATCCTAGGCGACTCTTGGTACACATGGCCTTAAACACACTAACTCAACTTTAATCAAGTTTGTAAATTTACCAGTACAATGCATGACCGCAGCAACTTGCTGTCAGGGTGTTGGGCTGAAAAATGATGGTGGACTTGTGTGACACCACACTGCACACACATTCTTTCAAGTTATAAATCTGTGCCTCCTCCTCCTCCTCCTTCCTTTTATCCTTGGCTTAGTCTCCTTGGCTCCATGTTTCCACTCCCACGCATTATCTTTGCTATGGCCCGTGATGGTCTGCTCTTCTCGTTTCTGGCGCGTGTCAGCGCGAGGAAGACTCCTATCATCTCCACCTTTGTGGCAGGGCTTTTATCTGGTAGGTAGCTGAGATGAAGCCAAAGGCAACAGTGCCCCCTTATGGAAGGAGGATGGTGGCAAGTCGTTCAAGCTTCTAAATAATTAAGCTGAAAAAATACAATGTCTGCATTGCTTTCATGCAATTAATGTTCTTTATGGCTTTTGTAACCTTCATATGGTTCACCTGTGTCTCCTGCAGCGGTGATGGCATTCCTGTTTGACTTGAAGGACCTGGTTGACCTCATGTCCATTGGGACTTTGCTGGCCTACACTCTGGTGGCAGCTTGTGTGCTGGTCCTCAGGTAGCCCTCATCACTTATTTATTAGGCCTTAAGTGTTTTATTTTCAATTTTAATACTGCATACTGGACACTCTGGTCTGACCCGATTTCCCACAATGATATCAACAGACTAGTCTATGATGTCTGGCGAGGATAAATGTAGAAATGGACATAATGAAAATAAAAACATTAAGAGACCACTTAATCATCACAAAGGCAGTTTAACTCAGGCATATTTAAACACTCTGGTTATGAAGCGTGAACCACTGTGAATCCATTTCTCCTGCTTCGGTGCAAATATAAGTGAAGGGACGAGCAATGGAAAGGGAAAAACGAAGACACCCCCCAAAAAGGGAACGGTTTTGCACATGTTTATTATCGAGTATTGCTGTCTCGTTACCACTCATGATTGATTGATTGTAGTCTAGTTTTACTGGTTTTTATGTCAGAAAGAGTTCATGAAGGTGGAATGAGGTTAGGGCATCTTCTAGCGGGGCCTGTGCTCACACACTAGTATCGTGCTCGTATGAATACAGGATGACACGACCTCCTCCCACTGTCTCAGAGTCTCTAAAAGCTCGGTAAGAAGCACGTATGGAAGTAGCCTCTGGGGGCCTGAGCTCTGGCAGGGCTCCTGCTGTTCTTCCTAACACAAAGAGCGACAGCCTGGTCGTGCTCTTCTTGTGTAGCAGGCCGTCTTCTGGTATCTCTTCCACATACTTAACTATGCTGAGAGACACAGAAATAGGAGGAGCTCAGGAGCACAAACAAAAAGCAAAACTACAGTTTTAGAGCTGTTACATTATGAATTTTACCGTGATGATCAAGTGGTCCCTTATTTTTATTAATTTTATTGTATTTTTTTATTTTTTTATTAGAGTCGTGTAATTTTAATTACTCAGATAATTACTCGGGAATTCCTACAGTACTGTACTGAAACGACTGACCTCCACCTTTTCTAAATCGTGTCAGTGGGAATAATAAGAAAAAGAATGCACATTATTTGTATGTCATTGATTTGATAGCTGTTAGGTTATAATAATGATTTAATAATATTTAATGATGAGATTTTATTGTGTGTTGCAACATGAGCCTCTCTGTTCAGTGTTTTTGTGACCCGGCCAGTTGTGCTTGCGTGTTAGTTTCAGAGGTGAAAGGTGAAACCATCAGCTAGATGGCACAGTGCAGTCTGAGCAGATTTGTGTGTCTTTAATACTGCTTTTCTGCTCTGCTTTGATGTAGAGAGTAGAGAAAAGCGGGAAAACCAGCTGTCGGCGCATCAGAATGGTGTCTTATCCTAGCATAATGGATTTTTAAATGTGCTACTAATTATAGCTCTGTTGTATGCAGACGTTTGAGTTGTGGGAACAGTGGGATAGGGAGTCTTACACTTTCATTTTTGTAATTTTCTTTTTTTGTCTTGTGAAGGTACCAGCCTTTACAGCCCAGTGCAGCCTATGAGATGGCCAATACTCAGGATGAGTCTGAAATTACATATAGGGATGGGAGTGTTGATATTTTATCGCAACCTGATGATCACTTTACTTTCAAAAAACTTATTAACCCTCCGAACACTGAGCCGTCATCTCTCTCTGGACTCATTGTCAACATCTGCACCAGTATACTTGGTGAGAAACTGGATGAAAGTCCCAGAACTATTCATGTGATTACCGATGCTGCACATCATCTGGCGTCATCGCTTGTTTATTTTGTTTTTTTCCCCACCAGGTGTTTTGGTGTGTGTCTTCAGTGTTGTAGCTTCTCAGGGAGGGTATGCACGCTGGTCTCTGACTGCCCTCTGTGTTATAGTGGCTATCTGCCTGGTTCTAATCATTATTATATGGAGACAGCCACAGAGCAAAACCAACCTTGCCTTCAAAGTGAGTGTGTATCCTTTTGCTAAAGGCTTTTCTCATGCTATCTCATACCCACATAGCAGTGTAAGCTTGTCACTTTTAGAAATTAATAATCAATAACACCCAGATCCTCTTTCAAAGTAACTTCCTCCATGTAAAATAAAGAGTTAAATATGAGATATAATATACTAATGTACTATGTGATGTGATTCTAGAGACAGAAAATGCCAGTTTAGATTTTATTGTAAGCAGATATTGAGAAAAAAGCATTTAGGGCTTATTGGGTAATTCCACAATAAGTCTTAATTTCTCACTCAGGAAAAAAATTATGAGAGTTTTGAATTAAAAGTGCTGCACAATTTTTCAATCGAGCGTTAAAAAAATAACACTTAATTTTGTCAGGGATTCTCCTACATTGCCCGTACGTCTAAGATTGCTTTGCAGATTGTAAAATTTGTTTTAAATGCAAAGTTTTAGCCAGTCTTATACCCAATAAATACTCTATCCACAGGTCCCATTGGTGCCACTGGTGCCGATCATTAGCATGTTTGTGAACGTGTACCTGATGATGCAGCTCGACAAAGGAACGTGGTTGCGTTTTGCCATCTGGATGACCATAGGTACTTTAGACCAGCAGTAACAATTAACGTCTCTGCTGTAATTTTATTTTTTTAAACTTGTTATTATTATTGTCCATTAATTCATGTTTCTATGTGAATTGTAGGTTTTGCCATCTACTTTGGCTATGGTATACGCAACAGTGCAGAGGAGGCGTTAGCCAAGTGTGACAATTACGAAGATAGCTGCATAATAAAGGAAGAGGCCATGCAAACAGAGAAGGAAGCCTTCTTACACAATACACAAAACTCTACCCGAGAAGATGAAGATGGTTTCTGAGGAGATAGGAGGGTTTTTTTAAAAACGTTTATTTAAATAGTGGTACAGGAAAGAAGGTGCAAGTATGTTTCACGGAGCGGTAAGGACAACATAACAAACAAAACAGCCCTTACCTATTGTGAAAACGCCAATCAACTAACTAAATTAGACAAATGAAAAGTTACAAATCTACAATTCGCTAACAACTCAAAGAAAAACGGAGAAAAAAATGTTCAAATTGCATTTGCAGCTGTCCTCTACAAGTTTTCTGTGTCGAGGTTGGCACAGAACAATGTCACAAAGGACCTATCAACACAAGATTATCAATTAAATTGAGCTAACATAAAATCTAACCTAAACATATAACGTATTATCATGCAGTCATGACAATGAGCTTAAAAATCCAAAATGGCCAAAGACCTTGAGTCCCTGCAGACCATGCAAGTGCTCAGTCGTCAGCCAACGACAAGAAAGATGAAAACACGAGGAGCCAGTAAGAAGAAAGAGTCCATAGACCAGGAGCTGGTACAGTATATCCTTTACCCCTTTTTTCCCAAAAAGAATGTAACATCTGTGCTGTGAAATAGCTATTAAGTTTTCTGAAAGACTATCTGCAATTTCAGGAGACACATGGAGACAGCCAATTGTACTACTAGCCAAAAATGTTGACTACATGATGATTGTAAAAAGCCTAATAAGATTTAATGGCTAATTAGCCAAGTATTTTTAATTGAAGCAGTATGAAATTATGTGAAAAGAAGATTATAGTCATATTTTTTTATTTTATTTTATTGTGCTTTGAAATGGTCAGTTTTACAAAACATAACGGAATCCATCGATTCAAAATGCTTAAATATTAACCAACCATAAATAGATCTTCATAAACTTCATTTTGGGTTTTTAACAGTACATTAGAATGACCGCACATCAGATTTTCCATGAATGATGTCACATATAAAGTTCAGAATGTGTTACTGCTCACCTAGCCTCAAAGTGCTCGACATTTGTATATGTTGACCGTGTACAAAAAAGACGAAACACCGTCTAAGAGACTTGGACGAGGGTGAGAATTTTAATGTACCATCAGTGCCTTTTGTCAGAAAGTTGTTAGCTGAGAAATCCCTTAGTTGTAAATTTACCCTTAAGATGCAGTTTTGGGGGTTTAACCAGTGTATCTATTACTGAAAACAATACAAGTCACAGGTCTTTGGATGTCTTGTACATTGAATGTATAGCTCATATAAACTCAACATGGTGCTAAAAGTAGCATTCTCAGTGCATCCATGTGTTTGCAGGTCTTTCTGATTGATGGTACCAACTGCTAATCTTACCAGAGTACCAATGCTATCTGTGGGAATTTGTACTTTTTACTCAAAGAAAAAAAGCTGCTTATTTTAATCGAGTTTATATTTTAACCTTTTAAGACCCGAATTCTTCCACAGCATGCATTTTTAATTTATCTTTGATATTTGGGCATATTGGGGCCCGATGAATGTAAAAACAAAGAATTGCCAGATTTTTATTTTTATTTTTTTACCAAATTTTCATTTCTAAGAAAAATGAGAGCCACAAATGAGGATATTTGTTTAAAATTTCAATAGAACAGTAGCAGTATAATGTCCTCGTAAGTGGATATCAGGCCCTTGTAGAGCAAAATTGAGTATTTTGGTCTAAATAACCCAAAATGTGATGTCCAAATATGTGGACGCCAGGTCCTAGGAGGTTAAAGTGCCTATTCCCCAAATGAATTTTTAAAGATAGGATATTCCTCTATCACGATCTGCCTATGTGTAATACTTTATATATAAAACAAAATGTTTAAACGAAGATTTAAAAAAAAAATCATATATTTATAACTACATGAAACCCAAGTGGATCCTTTTGACTTTTTAATTCACACATGCCTGAAATACAATCAGTTTGTGATTATTGCACACCTGTAGTTTACATGGTGATATAACACTTCTTTAGTTCACTTTTATTTTGAAATGCCAAAATCTACACTGTATGTTTAGAAACACAAAAATGGTGTAGGTCAAGCAGTAGAGTGTATGTATGCGTGTGTGTGTGCAGATCTTTGACGCAGCTAAAACTGAAGTACAGCAAAGTTTGTATGTCAGCAAAGGTCTGGAAATGCAACTACGTGAAAAATCTCTTCACTCAGTCCGTTTTTAAACGCTAATATATATATTCAGCAGTAAATGGGTGATGGCAATAACACTGTGAGACAATTTATTTCAGCTTATGGTCCTTTTGAGGGAATCTATTAATGAAACCTGAAGCCAAAATCCATTGGATTTAACTTGATCATGCGTCAGAATAATTTCTGTAGTTTTTTAATAGTTCCTATAGATTATTTTTGCTGGAGTGGTATAACAATTTTTAAACCCTTCCCTTGTAAATAAATGTTTGTGCTCCAGAATGTAACCAGGCATTGTTTACCTGGCTGTTTCTAAATCAGTAAGATATAAGCACATGTTATTTTGAAACGATGCATTAATTTTAAAATGTAGAAAACATTTTAACACTGCCTTTGTAAATAATTTTTTGATGATACTTGAGTTACTGACTGTATGCAATGTTTATGGGAGTGCTGTACTTGCTGTGGTTACATGTCAAAAGGTCACATCATGCTTCATCCGTGCTTTGCATGCTGCATAAATGCATTTTATAGTGTTGATATGTGATAATGTTCAGTGTACTGTGGGGGGGAAGGCACACTGTTCACTATATGTTGTTGTCATATTGGTTATGGTTTGTATAGTTCTCGATGTAAATAAATAATCCTGAAAGCTAAAGCTGACTTTGATTTATTTCACATAAACACCTCCCGCTGTATAGATGGTTTAGAGAATCGACATTAATTCATTAGTGTAGTTTCTTCTACTGTTACCTTTACTACTTCAAGTACAGTAATCAGAAAGATTGGAGCCAAAGAAAAATCTAAATTCCTTCAGTTTATTCTGCAGACAAACTGTTTTTAGTGTTTAACACTGTAATTAATTCATAAGACTACTGCCAAATGTAAAATGCTATAGTTACCCTAAATTAACTGTACGTTTCTGTAATGTTTAATCCAGTAATATGAGTAAGCTGTGTAATCAAAATGATCTTTGAATATAATTACTGTTATTTATTTATTTTTTTAATCGACTGTTTTACAAAAACAATAAATAAAGCACATAATTATTTTTTTTGATTGAGGACCGATTACACTCATTTTAATTTGTTTGTATGGTTCGCCTAATAACCATTTAGCCAGACGGTCTAATAAATCTGTGAAGCACTATATTAGTCTGTGTTGCTCTTTCTCTATTCTTTGAGCTGCACTCTTTAGAGGCCTCCGCACATCTGCCGCCCCGTCTCCACCTTCCTCTGTCATGAACCCTTTGCAATGTCCTCCTCCTTTTCATGTGGCAGCTCCATGTCAACATCCTTTCAGTTGATCCACTCTCTCTCCTGCCCATGCCCGAACCATTTTGCCTTCTAACTTTGTCTCCAAACTGCTCGACCTGAGCGGTCCCTCCGATATATTAATTTCTGAAATTGCACCTCGTGGTCACTCTCAGTGAAAATCTGCCACCTCCGTCTCCACCCCGTCTTTGTGTCAGTGCCACTTTCTCCAAACCAAAGATCACGGCAGGACTCAGCACCTTGTAAACCTTCCCTTTCACTCGTGCAGATATCCTGTGATCGTATCCTGCACTCACTTGTTCCTCTTCTCATGTCCACTCACTGTTGCTTTGGATGATTGACCCCAGCTTTTTAAACTCCTCCATCTCCACTTCCTTTACTCCTTACATCTTCACCTTCCCATCTGCCCCGCTCTCATTCACGCATGTCGCTCTGTAGTGGGGAAGAAATGTCCTGTCTTCACCTGCAGGGGGCGACTCGAGTCCATTTTGTTCAATCTCCTCTCGTCTCCTCTCCTCCCTGTTTTTCAGCGATGATGCAGACTGTACCCTCTTCATCTCGGCTTAAACTGGATGTCTCAATCATTCTTCATCAGCTCTTCGCTGACGGGCTCTTCTCCAGATTCACCTGAATTAAACCGGTAAGAAATTTCATTTCACAAGGGGAACAGAAGGCGTTTGCTGTCTCCCTCTCAATCTCCGAACAGCGGCAGTGATAACTGCATTTATTGACCCTGCTGCATCTACTCGAGACTGCGGATGATCCTGTTGTGTTTCTAATAAGGTTGTTTTCAAGTCATTTCCTAATCGTTTCCAGGAGTGCAGATTCTAATATAGCGTTTGCATACCAAGCTTTGAAAAGGTAACCTCAATACAATTGCTCTCACCTCAAAATGTGTTTGTGGAGTCACACCATGTTTTATTTATTGTGTCACCCACATCTTATGTTTTTTGTCTTTTCTAAAATCAGCAAAGCCGGTCCTTCCTCTTTCTGTATTTTTCCCTTTGAACAAAAATAGTTTCCTAATGTGAGGAACAAGGTACCCAGAGCAGCATGAATGTGCATTAGTAATAGTGAAGTGACAGATTTCTGTTGGTGTGGCTTGAGTGGTGACATTTATTGAAAAGGCCTGAGTTGTACTGGATTATGTAAGATGTGACCATAAAATGATGAGGGCCAGTGGGCAGCATGCACAGCCAGTAAGGCCTCGATCGTCTTACCGGAAGCCTGGAGATTTTATAAACTCAACACAAAAGGTGCTGTTACTACATATTTGTTCATTTATGTAAGAAGCATTTGAATTAGCTTCCAAATGATAGAATTTTGTGGGTTTTTGCTGCCTGTGAAGCATTCATTTGTAGTTTTTCAAGGCAAACCGTTGCCATGTGTATGAAAAAGCAAATCTTATGTGAGCTTTAGGTGGTTGCACAAAGAAGTCAGGGGCACTGAAGCATTAAATTGAGAGGGAGACTGCTGCCTCCATTTTCACTCATCTTCAATTTTTCATGAGGGATCTAGATTAAGCATCAAGTGAGGCTTGGTAAACAAATGAAGGCCCACATCTGTGAGGACCAGCAAGCAGCTGCATTAGACAGCTGACACAAAACAGAAGCTGACACAGCTTCTATTTCACAGAGCAAAACAAGCTGTGCGGGCACATCTTCACATAAGTACTCCTGCGAGGCTTGGATGCACAGATTTTCTCAGTAGCCTTGGCAAAGGTGTTGCCTGAATATGAGCAGGCAGGTGGCAGGGCAGCCAGCTGAATGATGGGAGATGGGGGAAGCATTTTAGTGCTACAACTATAAATTTCCCTGTTCTCTCTTGTACTGTTATGATGTCTGACTGACTGCCCAAGTGTTGAATAGTACTATAAGTGATACCAGGAAACGGAACAGGAAGGAAGTGGCAAATGTCCTTCAAACCCAGAAAACTTGTGAATAGAATGAAGCTGAATGAGAGACATAAAGAAGAAAGTTAGTTCATGTATGAAATCAGAAGATTTTACAGTACGTCTCTTGTAACTGGATCTAATCATTTTCAAATGACCTGAACAAAGCAAACTTGAGCTCTAAAGGATTCTGGTGTTTCTTGTAAATCCAACCATTCCTTTTACTTTCACTTACCAAAGTCAGGTCACAGTTGCAGCACACACTTGTCTCTCCATTTCCTTTTCTTTCTGGGGGATTGTGCATAAGCCTCACCAATCAGTTTGTCCATTTCCAGCTCCAGTTTGCCATCACTTGTTAACAACATCCTGAAATACTTACTGACACATTGCTGTTGTTCCCATTCCCAACTCCCTCCTCACACTGGCTGCATTTTCAGTGCTGGTCCATAAATATCAAAAACAGGAATGAAGACAAGAAGCAAACTTGACAGCGTCTAACCCTTGCTAAAACGATGTTGGGCCTTGTGTTTTGAATACAGTCACAGCTAATGCTTTACTTATAAAAGAATTGGATGGCTCATAGATACAAACCTTATAGTCTGCACTGCTGCAAAAGACAACAGGGTTCTCCAAACACATTTGAATACCTTCTCTAACTCTATAATTCTATACAAACATGTGTAAACCTGACGTAAAACGAAGAATTGAAAGTCTAACTCCGTAGCCTTCCTGAACTTCTAAATTTTTTTGCTTTAGCAAATGCCAAAGCAACAGCCGGTCTCCTCTCCCAATATCTGTCTCTATTTTTAATGCACCCCTGGATCAGGTAATCCTGAAAGGCCTCCTTATTCCACATGATGCCCTCCTTTTGTACTTATATCTTAACAGCAAGTTCTTAGGTTGTTGAACCTTTAACTGCAAGGCCTTGAACACGGCCTACCCAGATTTAATGTCCCTAGCCAGGTGACTGTCCTCTTCCCCAAGCAGAATCCAGAAACTGGTCTCTAAGCTCGGTAGCAGGTAAAGGTAATGTGCAGTTGACCCCAAACCCATACCTGGTAGTGGTCCACTGGGTAACACTTAAATGTGCTTTTTGTGGGCTGTTAAACTCCACTCCCAGGTCTGGCTAGAGGATGAAGGCTCATTTCTCCTTTCTTTTTATAAATGCCATTTATGATTCTTTACACCTAAAATTTCCATTTACACAACTTATCACTCCCAACATAACTTTGATCTATGATATTTCACTACTTTCTAGATCAAATATTAACAAATGCAGTTATATAAAACTCAACAAATGCACCATATCCATCATGTCACTGCTGTGCAGATAACTGTACCATAGTGTCCATGCTGAGGTCTGCACTTAACCGATTTAGAGCTGGAAATCAATTTAAGGATGATGGCTGCAGCAGAAACAGTAGTGTTAGCAGGTTGAGCCTTTCTCTTAAAAACAATATTTTATAGCACTTGTCTGGAAATATTCGACAAGGAAAAACATTTGTTAGTAGCACCAGTGTTTTGTCTGCCTGCACTGAGAGATTTTGTGTCTCAGTGTGGTTTAACAGTAAGCACTGCAGTAGATGCAGGTGTGCTGTCTCTGTTGTGCAGAGGCAGCATTTAGTGCGATGTTTTAGCTTATGTTGCAAACGGGCACTTCTGTCTGTAGACCCTCTCTGCTTTTCTTGTCAAGTTTACAAAAGTTGACTTGTTCAAAGCATACATCAAACTCTAATAACAGGCAACAGCACAGTTTTGTTTTCTTAGAAGGGAAATGACATGCTATTTCCTGCTGCGTAAGTGACTTTATTAGGACACAAATGCAGAGCAAATGCCTGAGATGGAGCAGCAGGCAGTCAGTTTTCTTCCTAGTAGGTTTTTTTTCTTTAATTGGAAATTTTCTTGGAATTTAATTTTTTGTGCTAGAGGAACTTGTCAACCACAACTGGATAATGGGAAAGGCATGATGAGGTGATAACAGCATGTGCAATTTCTCTGCAAAAAAAAAGAGTTGTTGCTTAAGATCAAAGGGCCTGTCAGTGCTCTCTGTCCTTTACAAAGGGTCCACACAGGACATTTCATTCACATTTCTCATATTGGATTAGTAGAAACTCTCTGAGCAATTATGGTACCTGCTGGCTGACTAAAATTGCAGGGCAATTAAAGGAAGTGGCATAGCTCTTAATCTGAGCATGCAGGTGGCAGGGCAGCCAGCTGAATGATGGGAGATGAGGGAAGCAGATTTTGCAGAACTTCCAGATTTTGGTAACATATCAACAAACTTAAAATTCATGTTGACAGTTTAAAGCTCTTTGAAATACAAAGTTTACATATAGATCTCCCTTAATGAAGGAAAGGGTTAAATATCATGTCACTCAGCTGATTGGACAAAAAAAGAGGTTCTTGGATGTTTTTTGTTTTTGTTTTTTTGTTGTTGCAAGCAATAGATGGTGCAGAAAAGGGATAACAGAAATAATGTGTATTTTTTTAATGCAAGTATCTTAAAAGTATTCACAAAAGACAATCTCAGTAACTCAAGGCACATGGATAATCAGAAACATAAAATATAAGAAAACAATTCCATTATGAAGGTCAAATGTAGCACCGTCACTGTCATGCTGGTTTGCATCTGACTGTCATAAAGACAGAACAATAATGATAGTGTCCATAAACAAGAGAAAGTGTCATTGTATTTTCCCTCCAAAGGCAGAATTAGCTTTTTTTGTCAGTGTACTTAAGCTTGTCTGGTTGTTATTTTTTCCCCCCAGATAGTTCACTGTGGCTGGAAGATAGTCATTCCTTTTTTCCCTTGTTCCTAATTGTATTTTAAACTTAGCAGTCTCTAGTTAGATCAGGGAGTTATATAATTCAATAAAAGTAATTTTTTTAGGCTAATATTTTCTGTTTGTACCTTCTTCTCTGTAGATCTTGTTTAACCACAAAGTTGTTCCTACCTGTAACATATATTCCAAGCAGCATATTATCTTGTCTGCTGAATTCACTCACATTCCTAAAGCTAGAGAGAGACCGGTTGCCAGCTAATTCACTAATGTCATTTTTTTAAGAGTCAGATTTGTGAATACTGCTCTTCACAAGAGTGCTGCAAAAAATTCTGGGCCCTTGACAACATTTCAGTCAGAAACAAAATAAACAAGATGTTTGGCATGTTTAACATTTAGGAATAAAGGCAGAAAAGATTCATGGTTTTCACCACTGTAGGTTTTTGCAATCCTGGGAGCCCAACAGGCCTGAGTTTATCCCACACTGGGCCTGAGGATTTTCTTACAAAAGCTGTAACCAATAAGTTATCATATGACCTCAGCTGTTTCATATACAGAAACACCCATTAAGGTTTTTTGAGCTACAAAGAAGTGTAAAAAAAAGAAAAAAGAGGCCAGAAAAAAATTATACATTAATATTGTTTATGCTGGCTAAATCACTCGTTGCTGTGTTTGTAAGAGGTTAACTGTGATTTCTCCTGCTGGTCTAGCCTACATTACCTTCGGTGCATCTACACATCTTTCACTGCCCCCACAAAAAAACTCACTTTATTTCATGGTTTTATGATGAAACAGACTGAAAGATTTAAATTATTATAAGATGGCACAGTTTCTTAAATATACCTGTTGAATATTGTTTTTAAGTCATCTTCAATATATTTTCTTTACTTGTGATCTGCTGTTTTTATGCAGGATAAGGACCTCAGATGTTATGAAGACCCATGCTCCAAATTAGACATGACATTCAACATTCACATTTCTGACATACTGAAAATAGGCTCCTGCTCTGCCAGTAGGACAGCTTGATGGGCAGACAGACTTTTTGATGCTTGACGATGATGATGATTTATTTTAAGTGCTCTTGAGGCTGCCACAAACTCAGAGCTGATTTCATAATGTGTGAGCGAGAAGAGCCCTTTGGTGTGGGGGAGTTAAGGAATAACAACCAGCAGGGTGGCATGCTGGCTGATGGCGACGCCAATGCCAATGACATTCGGACAGAAGATGGTGGGAGAACTGGGGATACTGGCTGTCTGTCAGGATTGATAACTGTAACAGCAGAGCAAGACAAAGTCATCATCTGGGGCACAGACTCTCAGTGTGATGACCCTGAGCTGGCTGAATTTGAGATGTTAGAGTGTCAGGAGTTGGAGGCTTATCTTGTTGAGGAGGAAGAGGACTTTGTTGGGCTTGCAGAGCGGAAGGAGCTTCAAGAACAGCCGTCATCATGCAGAAAATCCACAGCAGAAGAGGCGATAGATTATAAGGGCAGGGAAGAAAGGAAGTCAATTCTGAACGGTGCCAGTGAGCAAGAATCCAATGGCTCTCATGTCTCTGAGAGCAGAGAAGCTTCCAAGACTGACTTAAGCTCTGAAACTGATGTCTTTGTATCCTGTCTGTCCACCATTTCAAGCATGGCCACTGCCATGGACACTGTTGGCAAGAACCAGATGACAGACTCCTGGCATATTGCCTCTGGTCCTCATTCAACCATCTCAGAGGACCTAACTTCCCAGATTTGCACCACTATCTCTGAGAGAGGCAAGGCCTCTCAAATAGTTGATGATTCTTCTCTTTCTGCTAGAAAAAGCACAATAACCCAGAAAGATGTAGATATGAATTTGAATTCAGCAGTTCAGTCAGATGATGCTGTATCACAGGCACATGATGTCAGTGGCAAACCCGGGACAAATAATAACCATAGAAATAAAGCAAAGGGTAGTGTTTTGGAGGTAAATTGTACTGAGAACAAGGCTTTAACCTCTCCGACAAAATGTCAAAAAGAAAGCAACGCTAAAATAGATAAAAGCACACAAGCGGATGAGACCCCTGATGTGAACTACAGGGCTCTCAGAACAGGTACAAAGGGGACTCAGTCATGTGTTGAACCTAAAGCCATAAAGAAACAAAACTCATTTGATAACACACTGAAGAAACAAAGCTCTTTTGATAAGAGTCTGAAAAAGCAGCCTTCATTTGAGAATTCTTTAAAGAAGCAGCTCTCTTTTGATAACACCTTAAAAAAGCAGGGCTCCTTTGAGAACACCACCACTCCCAGCTCTTCAAGTCTGGAAAGGAGGAAGCCATGGGGAAGCCCCAGTCGACCAGCAACTCCTACATCCCCTAAAACCACCTCCTCTTCGTCACCTAAGAGACGACCTAGTGGTTCTCCAGCTAAGGTCCAGGGCATCAGGGCACCGAGCCTGGAGCGCAGTGACTCCTCTCAAAGAGGAATAAGTCAAACTATCAAACCACATGCTAAGATGAGTTTGAGCAGTGGAATCCCCAAACCTATCATGCCTCAACAGAAGGAGTCCGAACCCAGGAGATCTTCGCCCCCTCAGAAGCCCAAAAACGTGCGGCCAAAAATCATCACGTATGTTCGAAAGAATACTCAAGCAAAACCACCACTCACCGATGCACTAAATGAAGCCTCCACACACACATCAAGATTACCCTCTTACTCCAACCCACCAGCTCTCAAAGATCCAAAGGTTGCTTCTCAAACTAAATCCACACCAGTGCTCTGTTCCTCAAACCTGCTATTTGACAAATATCGACAGGAGATGCAGAAGACAGGATACTATCCTCCAGGTGTCGCTGTGACTGGAGTAAAACCTCCAAGCAGCACTATCCCTCAAAGGAGTGGAAAGTCAGACAACTTCCAGGAGGCATCAGAGAAATATCTTCAAGAGGTGAGAAGCGGACTTTTGTTTTGATATGTTCACACAACTCAGCTTATGGTGTGGTACAAGTATTCCAATTTAGCATGATGGTGGCTCAACTTGAAAGCATTTTTAACCCTTTAATTGTTCAAGCAGATTGGTCAGTTTCAGCTACACTGCACATGCTGTGTTTTAGATTATTTTGGTCACGTACTGGCTCACATTGCACCACAAACAGTAACAGAGTGGTAATAGATTAGATGTATTATCACACAAAACCAAAGTGCCTAACTTAATAATACATGAATCAAACCTATTACATGATAACTTGCTGTCCATCAGTCTAGAATGTGAATGATGTTATAGTAACTGGTTTTGTTGGTGATGTCCTTCAGCAGCATGTTTCCCCTGAAGGAGGTAGTGTCTACCGCTCGCCAAGAACCCTGAGGCCTCAGCTTGGGCTAGGTGCAGTCACCAGGCAGCCCGCAGCCAAGCCAAGAGTTCAGCAGGCAGGTCAAAGGTCAGGTCCCTCACAATATCTGGCTGCCAAAGTGGCCACTCCAGGCCAACAAGATCTGGCAGGTGAGATTGTAACGTTTTGGCAAATTGACTCAAAAGTGAACTGAAATGTTAGTTGCATTTTTAGTATCAGAGACAGCTGCATTTTGAAAGGTTGTTTTGGGAAGGTTTAAAAGTTTAACACAAGATGTATTTGTGTATGCTTACGTTAAAAAACCCTGTGTGGTTAGATGATTAGGTCAAATCTTGAGAAATCATTTCAACAGATTTCTCTCATCTCTCTCTACCTACTTTAGTATTCTCTGCACTCTCCCATCCCGTAGATGTTGAGCTGTAGAGTTATTTATTCAACAAGCTTCTTGGGCTTGCTGAATGATTCACCTAATTTTTTTCCTGTCATGCTTATGGATGAGCCTTGGCTTTTGGCACCTCAACTCTTTGAAGTGCAAAGCATTTGAAGTTAGTGTAACTTGCACATGCTACCAGCTCGCACTGCATAATTTTGCCTTCTTACATTATAAATGATACTCTTGGCTGGTTGCACATATGCTGCTTTCTTATTTATGTGGAATTTAGTCATTGAATAATGTTTATATATCTATATATATGTAATCTTCCTCTTTTATTTATTCATTTTATTTCAGTATAAACTAAATCAGGTTTTTAAAGGTTTTTTTTCTTGTTTTTTTACTTGTTTTTCTACCTTTAGGAGAGCCCAGGAGGGCAGGTCCAGAAACCACCCCAAAAAGCCTCCTGCTCAAATCAGGCCAGTCTGGCCTTCGTCCTCCAGGCTTCTCTGCCCTTCCAGCTGCCCGTCTGGCTTCTCTAGGATTTGTCCGGAGCTCCAGTGTCTCATCTGTATCCAGCAACCAGTCTAACGAAAGCACCCACAGTGACCCAGGCCGAGGTTCTCAGTGTGAGTTATGTCCACTCAACTCATTTTTTTTATGAATTAGACTAATACTGTTTTTACTGCTACTCTGCCTAAATAAAAGGTTACCCCACACCAATGTTTTACTACATCTGCATCTCCTTATTAGTTCACCAGCAGGTGTGGCTGGTCTATCCTCAGTTACTATAGTAACAGCTGCTCATTTTGTTTCATTTTCAATCATTTGTCAGAATTCTGCATTTCTAAGCCGCTGCAGCACAGAGCCTCAGAGAAGAAAGGATTTCTTTAGGAAGAAAGTTACTCTCTCTCCCTCTGCTGCCTGTGCTCAGCCTGCATACTGCAGAATTCCCAATGCATATTTCAGTACCATCACTGAAATATTCCCCAGTCTTCATCTGCATAAAGGAATGACAGCAAAATTCACCTGGCAATGTAATTATCTCTGTGTGTGAACGAGATGTCAGCAAAGTGTCAGGAAAGAAAGTGTCGGTTAACAAGACATTGTTTTATTACCAAAAAAGGTTTTGCTAAATATGAGCAGGCCATGTGTGTTGTCTGCTGATTCAGAGACGTGACACAAACTGACCATTGTTTGGAAAATGTTTAGATACATGGTTATGGTCTGGGTGTAAAACCAAAGAAAATAATGCAATAGCAGCCATTGAAAGTGATTCACTAAAAGTAGTAATAAATACTGACTCTTCTATTTTAAATACAATGATTTTATTTTCTTTGTAATAATGTAGGGCAGGGGTGTCCCACTCCAGGCCTCAAGGGCTGGTGTCCTGCAGGTTTTAGATGTGTCCTCAATCCAACACAGCTGATTTAAATTGTTAAATTGCCTCCTCAACGTCTCTTGAAGTTCTCCAGAGGCCTAGTAATGAACTAATCATTTGATTCAGGTGTGCTGACCCAGGGTGATATCTAAAGCATGCAGTACACCGGCCCTTGAAGCCTGAAGTTGGGCACCCCTGATGTAGGGTCTTTACCTTACAATATAAACTGCCTCTGGAGAAGCTGGAACCAATAGCATCCAGTTTCATAAAGGCTACCCCAGAAACCTGAAACACATAAGCAACAAAGCTACAGCTTAATACAGACCAGTCATGGTAAAAATAATAGTAATAGTAACAGAAAATATAAAGAATATCAGAGAAAGCGGCTCTTTAAGACAAGCTTGCAAACTTCTCTGGTAAATTTAATTTAAACTGATAGACATCAGAAGTAAATAAGATTTCGCACTCTGGTAAGGTCATTAATTTTTATTCATTTTTATCTATTGTATGAGTTTAATCATGCAATGATGTTCATTGTCATAATTACAGGTTCATGTTGTCCTTTGCTTAAACATCACTACATTTATTCCAGTCTTTGACAGCTGAATCCTGCCTCTCCTTAGAAATAGTAGCAATAGTACTCTTAATTAGTTGGTGTATACAGTACCACTGATTCTCAAGAAAACAACAACAGTTCTACTCAACATTAATATGAGGATGCCCAACTTGACTGCCAGTGGCTCTGTAATCTTTTTAGATATGTAAACTGAAGCAGATTTGTGTACATTTTAACAAATTCAGTATCTGCCAGATTGTAAAATACTTGGAAGCAGCTCAGTTTGGCATACACAACTGTCTGCTTGCACCGCAGTGTTTCCCTTTAGGCTGTTGGCTCAGACTGCACCACGCTATAACCATAAGCCCCAAATGCAGCTACAAGCAGGAACAAGCAGCTCCTTGTCATCATGATGCTCAGGTCTGGTGAAATAATTAATTCACTGGTGTAGTTCAATCAGGAGGAACGTATTACACAGTATGCTGACTGTAAAGTAACACAGTCCTTTCTTTCCATTTTTCTGTCACCAGTTCTTCATCACTGCCACATGGCCCAGAGGCACATTTGTTCTGAATGTTATTAGCTTGTCTATTCTCGCTGCTTGCGAGTTAGTCACAAGCAGAGTCCTCATTGGTGCTGATCAGAGGATTCTTACTACAGGGGGTGGATTTGTATTGTACATGCACGCTAGAAACAAGCATTTAGCAGTGTGAGTCAGCCTTCGGCCGTCTCCTTTAGCCAATCCCTTTCTTGGCTTCGTCTCCATTTCAGTAGGTCACCTTTGGGAAAAGGAAAAAAAAGAAAGGAAAAAAATCTGCTGACTCTCCCTGGTGTATTCATGCTGCTGCTTTGGAAAGCATCACTAGATGTGTTGCACAGAGCCTTGGCATTTTTACATCAAAAGTGATTTAATG